CACCCCCCATGTCCCTCTCACCCCCATTCCCTCTCACCCCCCTCCCTCTCACCCCCATTCACCTCTCACCCCCGTCCCTCTCATCCCCCTTCCCTCTCCCCATTCCCTCTCACCTCCCTCCCTCTCACCCCCCATTCCCTCTCACCCCCCCATTCCCTCTCACCCCATTCCCTCTCACCCCCCATTCCCTCCCACCTCCCTCCTCTCACCCCCCATTCCCTCTCACCCCCCTTCCTTCTCACCCCCCATTCCCTCTCACCCCCTTCCTCTCACCCCCCATTCCCTCTCACCCCTCGCCTCTCCCCCCCTCGCCTCTCACCCCCCTCTCACCTCTCCCCAGCTCCCCGGAGAGCACACAGAGCCCCTGCCCGTCATGATGTTCATCCACGGGGGAGCCTTCATCTCCGGCGACTCATCCCTGTACATGCCCACCAAGCTTCTCGACCAGGACGTGATTCTCGTCGTCATCCACTACCGGCTGGGAACCCTGGGTGAGTTTTGGGGCGGGGGGTCATAAGGGTTGTTTTGGGTTGTGGTTTAGAAAAGGCTGGGGGGTTCATAAGGGTTGTTTTTGGTTGTGGTTTAGAAAGGGGTGTAGGTTCTTTTTTTTTTTTTTTTTTAGTAGGGGTTTTAAGGATTTTTTTGGTTGACTTTAAGAAGAGTTATTAAAGTTGTTGTGTTTTTTAAGGGGTTCATTGAAGGGTTGTTTTTTAGGCTGATTTAAGTAGGGAGTTTTAAGGGTTGAATTTTTGGGTTGACTTTTAATGAAGAGGAGTTCTTTAAAGGTTGTTTTATTATTATTTTTTTCTTGTTGTTGAGGTTTTACGGCCCCTTGATTGGTTTGGTTTAAGTAATGGGTACTTTAAGGTTGTTATTTTTTTCATAGTTGTGATGGGAACTATGATATAGGGCGAGGGAAAGGAGGGGATGATAAAATTGACGGAGATAAAATATATGATAGTGTTATAATGGTGTGGACTGAAAAAGTTATTGGAAATGGACGCTGATAAAAGGATGGAAATTGGTCTTTACGCTGATTATTAAGGATTGGAAATGTGTGCTTTTGACTTTAAAATATAGTGTATGGGAATGGTATGTGTCTGATAAAAGGTAAGGAAAT